TGTGTGTGTGTGTGTGTGTGTGTGTGTGTGTGTGTGTGTGTGTGTGTGTGTAAATGTGTGTAAATGTGTGTAAGTGTGAATCCGTGCACTGCCTTGCTAGTTGAGAGTTGACTTGAATGAGAATTCTAAGATGATATTTTTCGACAACGCCTTCCTATGATCCCTTGTGAGTCAACGAGACTCAATAAAACAAGGTTCTACATCACTAATGGTCATAAGAAATATGAAATTTGGTGGGTGGTCGAAAGGCGCCACTGGTAGAGCCTTCTTCTTTTCTTTCCCTTTGCTCTTTCGTCTGCCAGTTTTGCTTGTTCCTAACACTAAATTATCATTATCGCGTCAATATCTTCTACCTCTTTGTTGTAGTTAAAAATTGAAAGCTAATGGAGCTTCTCACATTTTCTCCCAATCTATGTCTTAAGCATAGTTTTTTTTTAGAAAGATGTCAAGTTTCAAGTCTTTTCGGCTGCTGCTGATCATGACTAGACCGCCATTGCAAGCTTAAAATTTTATCTGAAAATAGTTGACCTCTCCGTGCGCTTAAAAGTGTATTCATCCATGGAAAAGAAGCATGTTTTTATTTCTTAAGTCTTAATATATTTATATCCGTCAAAAACGTTGGCATAACTTTTTTTTCTTATTTGGTTATTTTCGCCTCCCTAAAAGAGCTGTATTTTACCAATTCGCCATTATTCGCAAAGAACCCACTTCAATGCGCTCGATTCCAAGTGTCAATAGCGTGATATTTTTTTTCCAAGGAAGATAATAATCCAGGGACGATGGGAAAGGTGGGGATAGTTTCCGCTGTCTGATTTACATCCGATAGTGGGATATGGCACCCTAAGCACCCGGGGTCGAAATGCCCTACGTGTTGTTACCTCATTTCCTGTTGACGTCATCTATGTGGGTACTGGGTGCGTGTAATGAGCGACTCCTTGCGGCAAAAACAGATCTGTTTGTTCTAACATCGACTTTTATGGCGTGCTAATGCAGTCGTTGAAACGGGTTTGGATGAAGTTTTGGTTTGGTAAGGAAGTGAGGGAAAAGAAGGGTTTGATTTATCTTTTAAAAAATG